GCCCATGTGAAACCCCAACCGGAGCAAGTGGTCGGGCGCGGCCCTGCAGCCATCCGGCCGAGCCACAAAAGGAAAGGCCTGCCATGGTGCTGAGAAACTCTGGCCACTCCGGCGTCCACACCTTCGCCGCGGCATTTGGTCTGAACGGCTCGAACCCTGGCGTTCCCCTGTTCCTCGTCAACATTAGGCGGCGTTGTCTAGCCAACAGAACAACGGTGATCTAAAGTCCCTAACTTCGACAAACGGCCAAATGTACAATCGCTGTTTTTGAGGGAGGTTCAGCCCCTGCCGCTCCTAACCTGGGACCTGGAACAAAAGGAAGAAACATGCAAACAATCCAGGTGGGTTTGTCAAGCAGGTAGCTTCGTCCAGCCTGACAAGTAGCAACTTTGCCATTCATGCCAACAGTGGCATAAGTGCGAGCGTTTAGAGGAACTATGGGGAATCCATTTTGAAGGAAAGCTGGGCTGGATGACATATCACTTTTGGATGCGTCCACGCAAAGGCAAATCCTACATGTCTTCATGCTGGCCGCCATGCACCCATGTCTCATTTCACTGGCGGAGCAAAAGGAAGTGACCTGCAGATGCATTTTGATTTGCATATCTTGCACTTGCCCGACATCAGGCTTTGCAATCTGCAACAGGCCCAAATCCTCGCTTCCCAGCGCAAACATCGGCTGAGCTGGGCGCGGTTCCCTTGCCATGACCCGCCGCCAGCCAAGACGCGAGCTGAAGGATGACCCCGCAGTCTGCCAGAAAGGTGCCTTCCAAAGCTGTGTGATCGGAACCCCCAGGTGCATGATGTCGGCAACTTGCCTTTCTCTTGGCACACAAGTAGAGAAAGTCCTAGCATTCTTCTTGCAACAGGACGCCGGTCTTGAATCTTGACACGGATCAAACATAGGCATAGACAAGAAGAGCCTTGTCAGCTAGCCTCTTAAGTTTAGCTACGTACTCAACTGGTTGGACAAGACTGATGACCCAGATCACGGCACTCAATGCAGTCAACAACCAAAGCAACCAAAGCAAATATGCCAAAGAAGCAAGCCTTAGTTCCGGCACCGCGCCTAGAAGCATGGTGGCAATACAGCCCAGGCGGTCGTAAAAGAGGCCCGGCACGAAGGACAGGGCGCATGCTCCGAAGTTCATGCAGCCGTACAGGAAGTCGCCCTCAGAAAGACTAAATCTAGGTTTTTGCAGTAGAGAGGTTAGAATAAGGGTACCCTTTTTCTGTGGTCTATTTTAGTAGTAGGAACCCTCCCCCAAAAAAGAAACGGTCAAAGGGCACGATCCTGGGGGACCTAGAAATTTGGGCCAAGCTTGGAAAGTGAACAACCCATGGGCCGATGAAACAACTCTGGGCTAAGCATACGCCGAAAAAACGGCCCTCAGACGCGCAGACCAAAACTCAAAACGAGTTGGCCAAGGCATATGGTCCATGCCCGCTCCACAAGACAAGCCCTATCATGAAAGTCTAATTTAGGCAAAATGTTCCAACATACGGGGCTAAAAGATGTCCCTTTATTATAATCCCACGGTCATGGTGCTACCGTTACCGTCCGTTGCAATGCAATTCGAATTTCTTTAGGCCCTAGCAGCCACAAGCTGAAAGTCCACACATGCCGAAAAAGGCAAAGGCGAAGCTGACAGGCCTCCGCAACTTTTGCGCTGAAGCGGGGGGATGGCTCCGCCCAAAAGTCCCGCTTTAACTAAAGAACACCCGACTGAAAGGAAATAAACTAGTGACCACGCAGGTGAAGGGACGAGCTAGCCAAAAAATCAGTGGGATATAAGGATCCCTGACAAATTATGTTTCGCATGAACAACAGGAGCCTCCTTCTCAGTGAGGCCATAGACGTCGTTGAAATCGCTCACCGACACGCCGTTCGTAAGGACCAAGCCATACCTCACTTGCCCAGAAGGACTGCAAACACGTTTTTATATATATATATGTATATCCGTTTGACACGAAAGAATACAACAACAAGTTCTATACCAGCAGGTGTATATATATATATATATCTATTCTGGGCGACACACGGGGAACTAGAATACCTCCCTCTGGACTCATCGTGACATGACTCCCTTTGCCCGACTCAGAAAGCGAAGGTCCAGTTGCAACTGCGCCATGGATGTGCATGGATTAGCATAAAAATGCCCAGGATCGTGTGGATGCGAGATCTTGGAAGTTATCGGATGGCGTGGCCAATTGAGAAGCCACCTGCTTCGACAAGCGGACAACCAAACAGGCCACTCAGCCAAAAGACTGCTAGCCATCAATGGACCTCGGCACTCCGAGTAGCTAGCTGCATCCATGTCATAAGCCTTGACTGGGTCCATGTGACACTGCTTAAACCCTTGAAACATCCTTCCCGGATTGCCAAAGAATGAATGAAGCGTACTTGGCGCACATCTGATCCAAACTCTACTTGGGGCACACATCGATCCAAATCAATGATCAACACCCCGGGGGTTGTACTTAGTTTGTCAACATCGTATCATTTGGCTATGAAATTCATGAACCCACAAATGATTAATTTGGTAGCTATGATATGAATATTGTACCTAAATGATGTAATTCAAATTCTGTTTGCCTGTCTGCAAGGAAGCCGAGCCAGGCCCCAGGCCCCAGGCACAGGCTGCTTGAGCTCAGAATCAGCCAAAGGCGCTGCACCACCCCGAGCAGACAGGAGACCAAGACCAGGAGTCGCCGGAAGGTGTAGGCCGGGTAACCCAAAGCACGGCCCAAGCTCAGGTGGGTGGAGATGAAGGAACTGGGCCAAGGCGAATCCCAAATACAACTTCGCCCAGACCTTCCCTGTGAAAAGGGGGTGTTCGGATTTACTGATATTAACAGGTGCTGTGAACATGTTCTGGCCACACTGGCCCCTGCAATTGCTATATGTAAATGAGCAACCATTCATAAATGCATACCTTGAATGCATCTCCCCGGCTTCTCATGTGCGAATGGCGTTCGGTAACTAATCAAGGGCTGCTCAGAGCTCTTTTGGAAGCATCGGCCCTTAACGCAGAAGCCACCCACACCCACCTACAGTACACCCGCCGACACCGACACAGCTGTATCAAGCCGCATCCAGCCACACACACACACAAACAAAACAACGCACATGCTACAAGTCAGCAAGCACAAACAAGAAAGGTACACAAAGTTTCAAAGGCATGACAATATAATCGAGTTGATTTACTGGTTGCAATGGCCCTGCTTTGGTGCGAAGGGCCATGCATGCGTCTTCAGCTTGTCACCCATTTGTAGCATGACAACTAGACGTTCAAAGGCCTGCTTTAAACAGCTCGCAAAACCGCTTCATACGAGATAATGGAGATTGTCCATTCCTGGAGAATCCCACCATCAAGGGTTGATACAAATCCCCAGGTTCTCATGCGTCTCATATCGCTATTTGGTTGGCACGGTTGCGACGGCCTATCAGCTTATCTTTAGCTGAAAGGAATTCCGCCACTGGCCACGCAAGTCCTGCATGCCTCTTCTTTTGAACTGGTTGCAAAAACAGACCAACAACTTGCATGCCCAGCAATATGATGAGAAGACTTGTAGCCTGCATCCATCGAATAGCTCTACTAAGGAAGAGCACTGCTCACCTCCACTCAAGATCACGCAGTCCCTGAGGTTGACTCCCTGCACTAAGGAAGCAGCATCCTGACTGATTAGTTGATGTGCCAGGTGCCAGCTTTTCCCCCTTCCATGTTTGCGCAAAAGGGAGCGTGTGAGCTCCCCACCATCCCTCAACAACCATCACACGCTGATTCCGTTTGAAATTGCAGCCGAGCGACTGCTGACGGGGTTGAACGCTCAAGGCGTGTTGCGTCATGGCGTGTGGCAGGGAATCATGCACAGCGACTACTCAAAGAAAGGCCGTTGACTTTACTGCGTGTGATGCTGCTGCCATATTGATGTTTCCTCTTCACTGCGGTCCTGGTTCGGGCAGAACCCATAAATTTGGGGATGGAGAAGTATGGAGACGTCGCACCAACCCTCATCATTTCAGAACTTTCAGTCAAAAAATGGAAAGCGCGAGCAAGGGGCGAGGCAGCCGTTCTCTTGGCCCCATCTGTGATTCATGCAATGCCACATAAGGATGAATTCTCATTGGGCACGCTTTGGCGGAAATCATTTGCATGGGGGTATTTGTCCAGCCATTGTTCAGGGTAATGGTAATCACATTCACCTGGACCAGACAGATCCAGAGGCACTTCCAAGAATTCGGATTTGAGCATAGGCATAGATGTTTCCTGGTCTACATCGCGTCCCTGAGCATGGAAAAAAAAAAACATGTGCATGGAAAACACGGCAAAAAGGTCCCCAAGTCTCCTTCCAAAGACGTCAGTGCCCGAAACCCAGAATTAATGCACCTTTGGTTCATTTTGAGTCGGGGCTGTCATTTTGAAGGGAATCCGGAACACTTGTTTTGCGGAACTGGTTCTTGGTCTACAAGGTTGACTTCGCGAAAATTTGTGGCGCTTCCACTGTACATCACCAAGCGTCGGTCCAAAAAGCAAAGAAAGCAGATGGGAGGAGTCTGAACGTTTCCCGAAACAAACGAGAAAAGACTTGGCCACTTTGTGGCCGTCACCCGCTCGGAGAACGCCTGCGTTCTTGGTTTGCGGAAAAAATCCCGCCGCCTGCTGCTCCGCATTTTGTTTTTGTACTATTCAACCCGGAAAAAAATGCTTGCTGCCCTGTCACAAGGGCAACAATTGTTCGCCAAGTGCCATCGCGAACAAGCTTCCGCAGCTTCACTCACAACCTATCCTTCGGTGTTGACGAACATCTACTGGCTTGGGGGAAACCCTGTTTGAAGCATCCAGAACCATAGGTGTCCTTTAGGGGAAATAGATGGCCCTGGTGGATGATTAACCCACCAGGTAGATCAGGGCCATCTATTTTTCTACCAAAAGAACCAAAAAGGCCACCTATGTTCAGAACGGCTAGCCAACAGCCCCATACTGAGGCGCCCCGGCAGCATGGCGTCCGGGCAGCAATGCTGCAACCCAGCAGTAGAGCACAGAGGAGAGGAGCGTAGTGCGACGTCCTGGCGGATCGTCCAAGGCAATGAGCTCCTGAGAAGAAACATCTGCACAAAATACAAGATTCCCGAACTGGACACGAGGGTGACTTGCTTTTCTTGCCAAATACCCTGTTGAGCTTGTTCTATTTTGCCCAGAAACTTTCAAGCAGAAACGCTGACACTGTCCTGAATGGCAGCGTTACTTTTGCAATGGCCATGAGGTCTTGCGAGGAACCCTGCGGGCCAGCTTTTACTTGCACGTTGCTTTAACTTTATCGGCACCAAAAGCAAAGGGCCAGGTCTCGCTATTCTGAACCAAGCCAAACCGACTGTGTGGGACCGTCCAAAACCAACTACATAAAAGTTTAGCCAAGGTTTCATACTTTCCCGCCCGAAAAGGCAGCCCATTCCAACTTGGAATTCGCAATCAGGTGAAAAATAGCCCTTCAGCACCGACTTGAAGGCAGCGCTTCGGCTTCGGTGCAACCCAAAAGACGGTCCGAGGGAACCTTAGGGTCCCTTCTGCCTTGGGTCATTCGCCGGATCCCCCCTTGCAACTGCATAAGGGAAATCAAACTCCATAAGAAATCAAACAGCAAATGACGACCTCACATATCTCGATCACAGCATGTGCGCGCCTCCGATCATTGCCCGCAGGGTTCGCCTGCTTAGGAACCAGCTATGCCTTGGAAAGCGACGACCGGGAAGCCACGTCACACGCTTCGTCAGGCTGTCTGTCACATCCATGGAGCACTACCCTTGAGACAGTGCTTTAAAACGGTAGCAAGCTTCCTACCATGTGACACAGGTCTCCCATTTTGGTGCACAAAATGATAGTTTGGTTCGAATTGAGACGCAGATCTTGGACATGTCCTTTTGTTCGACGTGCTCGTGACAGATAGCAAATCTACTGACCTACCTAGCAGGTCGATGACAGATGTCCGCAGACAATCAAACAGTTGGTTGACGCATGATCCCTTCTGGAAGCTCTGAGATGTGGCCAAGAGGCAATCCCTGAAAGCCCTCCTTCCAGGCTCGCAGAACCCTGTCTGACACCAGCCTGGGCGCAGCGCATCGCACTAGACGATGCTCAAGTGCAGCTCAGCCGTATCGAAGCATAAAGCACGCAGCCAGAGGGAAGTTCACTTTGATTGGTCGGGCCCATCACCTCTTCAACCGGTTGCGTGATGCACGCACTTTTGGGGGATGCGCGCGTCACGGGGACTATGGAAATCGTGTGGGAAAAGCCAAAGTTCGTGGCCGCAGGACTTGCCATGACCAGCCGAAATATAGATTTGACAACTCGTGGGATGCGAGTCATGGCTTTCAAAAGCATCCGAACAAGTCCCAACACACATTAGGGGCCTTGCGCCTCAACGGGCCTCTCAAAGGACAAGCATTTCAGTACAGAATCTCATTTCAGTGCTCCTAAAAAATCACGCCATCGTTCCTCAGAAAAAAAGTGATAGGATGCGCTACCTCCGTGTGCACCGCTTGGCTTGGCTGCCAGAGCCAAGTCACGATCGAGACGCCCAGGACAAAGCCTTGTTCCGCCGAGCCTGCGGAGCCGAACGGAAGCCGAAGATATCCGAAGATATCCGAAGATCCTCATGGCCACTGCTTCAACTGGCATCTCTGCAACGAAGGCACCTGAAGCCTCACAAGCCATCCTGCAACTTGTAGCAACGCCATGAACTCAGCAACTCGCACACCGACCAAAAGAAAACATAGGTTGTGATGATATGGACGCTTTGTAGTAGCGACATGCTTCAGGAGACCTCACACTGCCGTCTGTGCGGTCCCAAATGCCTCCATCCGCTTCATGGTTGGTTTAAATTTTGTCAACAGCGCGTGGACTCAAAGTGGGTCTTTCCACGAGCATGCCCTGTCGAGATGGATGCTTTGGCAAGTGCCGAGACGGGTCGAAGAAACAACAAAAAATGTTTTGCATCAGTAGGTTCCACCCTTGTCATTTTTCTGGCGACAAGCTTGCAGGTTCGTCAGCTTTTTCCTCGGCCGTTGTGTTTGTTTGCATTGTTGCGCGTTGATGGGACAAAATCGAGCTGGGCAAAGGACACTGTCGGAAGTTGAATGACACTCACGCGTCGTTGGCTGCATCCTTCGAAACAAGATCACCAGCCAAGCTACCCGCAAGAACATGTTGAGGCGAAAGAAAATGTTTTTCCAGCGGCGTTTTTCATAGGCGGCCTTAAAGAGCATTGCTGCCACAACCTGTGCTTTGACGCATGAGCATGCACCGATGTGACAAGCGTTGATTGAGCAAACTGCCTTTTGGCTCCTGCGCATGTTTACCGCCAATCTGCTTCAATCAGGGCGTGTATAAATTATGTTTGTTCGAATCGTGTGGCGAGTACGGAGCGTTCTTTGTCTCCACTGCTTCTGGGCTGGTTGCCCAAAAGTGCAGCAATCAGTTGTTGCCTGCATGCACGGTTTAATGGTTGGTTTTGTGTTTTGTTGGTGTTTCGCTCTACAGAGCTACGACGGAAATTGAGGAAACACCCGGGATTACGGCGCCAACACGCGGGAGTGCGGCGGAAACACGCAACTAGTGCACGACGTTCTCAGGGCCTTTGATGTTTTGCTCGATCTGCATACCTTCGATTTGTGCTGTTATAAGCATCACCGTGCAAACCACATCTGGTCACAAATGCATTGCCGGTGGAAATCATGATGCAGTTGGCTATGCACCGAAAGTGCCAAAGCTCGTCTATTGATGCACAAGTGTTTGCCATTTCCGGCCTACGGCTTGTTCTCTGGACGGGTGGAATCGTTGTTGCGTGCCCAGCGTCCATAACTTTCAGCAGCGTTTGTGGGCAAACCGAAGCAGCAAGTTTCCTCATGGCAAAAATGCCAGCTGGTTTTGCATTGTGGGTGCAAGGGCTTGGTGCAGTTTACGATGTGCTTGACCAGGCTTTACGGCTGTTTTTGTTTGGTTGCCGGCGTTTTTTTTCTACTTGCGGCTGAATGTCCTGCTGAACGCAAAACGACTTAAATTTTGGCCGGACAGGTATAGATGAGACCGGACTCCAAAGCCGCCGACTTGGTTTTCTTCTTTCCACAACTATTTTTCCGGAAGCTTGCGCCTCCTCCAGCCAGGCCCTGAACGCGCGGACAGCGCGCTGGGAGGAAACCTGGGCATGCGACCCCTCATGCCAAAACGTATCCCTTGTGCTACATCCCCTCCCAATAGACATGGATGTTCACAGAACCCCTTTACAAAAGGAAAGTCATCATGTTGTCCACGTGCCCGATCATTCATCCCTGAATGGCCGTGCTGGCGACAAGACTGGCAGTCCAAGGAGCATGCAGGGCCCGACCTTGGCTGAAGGAATGGTCCAATCCCAAAGGCTCTCGGGACAAAGGTGGTGCAGGTGTGATTGAGGCGCACGGCGTGCAATTTAATCCGCGAACGCACACACACACACACACTGTTGACACATGCAAGCAACCACAAGCACTGGACACAAGCACAAGCCCAAACATGATGGCAAACATGAACACACAGTGACACATCAGAAAACACACACAAGCACAAACATGAGCACACACACACACACGAGCGCATTTTTTTAAAGCACAAACACGAGCACATGTTCAAGCACAAACATGAGCACATTTTCAAGCACAAACACGAGCACATGTTCAAGCACAAACACGAGCACACACACACACAAGCGCATTTTCAAGCACAAACACGAGCACATACTCGAGAACACAAAGAAACACATACACCGAAGCCTGCGCACACGCGCACACACACACACACACACGGTTGGGGGGGGGGGGGGGCGGCGGGGGGGGTGGGGGGGCTTCTTGTCCTTCTTCCGTCATTATCTCGCAAATTTAAGCTCATGTTCTGCTGCTTTTGCGAAGCAAACCAAAACCAACAGCTCAAATATGTTCAAATCAATGATTGCAATTTTGTGCAACGCTTTTTGCTCAAGATCCGACAAGCGCCAAACAAATGCTGAGACCCCAGTAAGGCCAAACATTTCACTGCCCAGTTGCCCAGCGCCAGTCAGAAAACCGCACTCTTTTGGGGGAATCCAGTGAGCAACTGGGTTTCTGGCGCTTCCTTGAAGCATACCTCCAAACACCATCTGCTTTGCAAGGGATAAAGAACGGGTTTGGAGACATCTCCTCCTTTGGACGGTTCCGCGCTACCTTTTGTTGTGAGTTCCGCGCGTCCCTTCTGCCAAGGCGCCATGCACAGCCCAGGCGCCCAGGCGCCGGGCCTTCCGCGCGTTTTGCAACGCCAAGGCCAGGGGCCGGGCGCGGGCCTGACGCTGAGGCGGGCGTGCTGAGGCAGGCAGGCGGGGAATGGAAGGCTCGGGTTGAACCAAGTGTTGGCTACCAACCAACGAAAAGGTGCAGGTTTCCTACTTCCCTCTCCCCCCCTGTCCCTTCCAGCGCCAGGTGGGACTTAGGGCTGGCCGGGGTTCCGTTCTTTCGTCTGGACTCGAGCAGGTCCTTTTGGCCCTCTCGAAAACAGAGCCAAGCAGGGATGCTAATGCGTGAGCCACATGAGACCCCCAAAAAGTTCAGTTGCGCAAGGGGAGAAAACGAGGCGCAACTACCAATCCGTTGTGTTGGTCAGAAAAAAACAGTGACCTTCGCATGTCCTCGAACTATTGGCCGCGACCAAGCAAAGAGCTGTTGCTGACTGTCGCGCGCAAGAGTCGAGCACTCATTAAACGAGAGCATGACGGTAATGGCTGGCCACCTCACAGGCAGTGCTGTTCATGGATGCAATTCAGAACACGATTTGTGTTTGAGTGTCATGTGTGCCCTCAGCACACGCCTGTAATCGCCGCGCCCGCTGCACCCAAAGGGCGTAGGCCCGAAAGAACCTCCGCAGCCAGCTGGCATCGGACCTGCCAGTGTGAGCTTGGCCCAGCTGCTAAATCAACGTGAGTGTGTAGCATGTTGTGTGGGTAAGCAAGGGGGGTGACCAATCAAAATGAGGAATTGTGACATTTACTTTCGCGCAATCCTGTCCATCTGAGGAAACGGGCACCTGCATCAGGCCTCCCTCTTGACCAAGGGTTATGAAATCCTAGCTACCCATTGTGGCCCTTTACCCAGGGTTTTCAATCCCAGCTACCCACTGTGGCTGCGCGCACGTGCTTGCACATGAGCAATGGTTTGACACTCACTCCGCCCTGGTGTGCCCATGAATGTTTGTTTGAGACTTGACCATCCTTGCGATCTGAATATGTTGTGTCCAGATATTCAGAAATGCGTGACTATTTGCGTGGCTCTATATGCCACTTTGCAAGTCGCTGCCCATAAAGCCAATGCGTGATGTCGAAGTCCTAAGTAGCTGCCACACTGAGGGCCCTCAATATTGCCTACTGATGGAGGGCTTCAAGGGCTGATTGTATCCACCCATGAGTGAACCCAAGTCCGTTTTGGCAACAATTGTTGCTTAGCTGCCCACGGAGTTCTTTCCAGGAGCTCCCCCCAATCACCCCGCCTGACCCTCTGCTGCTTGGCTGCCCGGCTGGCCTTCAAGCAAGAATGAACCGCGACATGGGGCGCCCTACTAAAGTCCGCCGACATTGCTTGTAACCCTCTCCAACCAAACACACACACACACCCACACACACACACACACTCTGATCCGGGCGGGGGGCCACGTATTGCCGCAATTTGATGACGTACTAACAATAGTCTTCGGGGAGCCTGTTGCACAATCAGGGAAGGGTGTGTTTAGGCGGGGATTGGCCTCCTTTCGATAACGGGGAATGAAGGGGACAGGCAAGGGGAGTGCAGGGAAAATCACGGGGATGTAAGGACATGAAGGGGACAGGAAATTGAAATGAGAGGAAATCAAGGCAGCGAATGGGGAATGAAGGGGAACAAAGAGAACTGAAAGACAGTGACGAGGAAACCAAAATACACAGATGTAGGCAAATGACTGGCCATGAAGGGGACGCACATAGAAACTGAAGGGGACATGCCGTATGACATACCGAGAACATGACAGGGTAATGAAGGGGGAATTGAAGGAAATGACGGGGACGTGAAGGGAAAATCAAGGGGAAAGCCAGCGGACAATACAGAAGCACACGGGGCCGCCAAGAAATTGTGGATAGAGTGTGCTCTTTCCGGCGGACAGCAAGCTTTCACCAGGTGAAGTCCGCCGACGTGTTCGGCGTGTCAAAAACTAAAAAAGGATATAGGTTCCCCCCCCTAATCCCCCGCCCCCGTGTCGGATACTAAGAGAGGATAGAAAATTCCCCCCCCCCCCAGGAGGATGTCAAAAATATGTCGGGTTTGGGGGGCGGGGCCGCGTGCCGCGCGGGAATTGGATGACATTCCATGTTCAAAGACCAAAAATCCTTTGATACAAGGGGAGTGGTGTTCGATTTCCCCCGGACCCCTGGCCAAACATCCCCAGCATCGCTATTAAGTCGCTATTTTGCATCCAGCGCAACATCACCGGCAACACCAGCATTCCCAGAATGAAATTCCTGGAGACAGTGGCAAAGATGGCCAAATGAAGATCAAGGGGAAATGAACGGAAATGAAGGGGACATGAAGGGGAAATGAAGCATGAAGGGGGAATAAAGTGAAATAAAGGGGGAATGAAGAGGAAATGGAGGGGAAAAAGATGAAGCGGTAATGAAGGGAACATGACCGGGAAATGAAGAGGAAATAAAGGGGAAAGGGAGGGGATATGAAGAGGAAATGATAGGAAGTGAAGGGACATGAAAACGACAAAAAACAATGAAACCATCAGAATTTAGGCCATTAGGATTTGAAGGTTATAAGCCACCAATATTTAAAGAAATTGAACCATTACGATTTGAAGTCTTTAAGCCACTCAGATTCTAATATCTTAACACATCTTAAAGGCCTTGAGGGCCTCAAGGCTTAAGGGGCTTAAGGGCCTCAAGAAGCCTAAGGGGGTTAAAGGGGCAACATGTGGACACCTGCTTAGTTGGCAAAGGGCTTCACGGTAAAATGTCGGCGGCCTGAGCCGGAGGCTCTAAAGCAAAAGACGCATATTAGCTTGCCACGGAAACCGCACGTGAAACGGCAAGAGGGAGAGGGTTAACATGTTATACGCTAGAACATTTGAGCATATTTGAGCCTCCTTTGACGGATCACATTTGCCGGGAGGGGTGCGTGTCAGCTTCCAGGTCAGCAAGCAATTTCACGCGAACGAGGCCTCCTGAACGCTACCGACACCAACATCATCCGCAACCGGCGGCAAGTCACAGCAGCGCTTCCACCAACTAACACGGAGCTGACTGAAGGCTGGAAGGACAGAGCAGGTTCCATGCTGGTGGGGAGGGTGCCTCCCACACCACAGCAACCTAGGCTCCAGCTGTTGTCTGTTCAGCCTCGAGGCTGAAAAAGAAAAGGCCATCGCAAGGCAGACTCCCGCTATGAAACATCTCACCACCCCCCCCAAAATAAAAGAAGTCCCATACCCATGCACAAAACACCACTTTCCTTCCAAGATCTGGAGAAGACTCTGGCAAGAAAATGGGAGGAGGCTGAGAAAAAGAAGAAGAACCGAAAAAGAAGAAGAACAACAAACAAACATCAGCCAACAAAAAGCAACGGGCAGCAGGAAGCAACAAGCACGAAGACTAATGCACACAACGCATACAAACCAAAACACACACACACACACACACACACATGCAGACACGCGGGCACGCACACGCACACACACACACACACATACACTTATACACATACTCACACGTACAGCTCAACACCCACAATCACACACACAAACACATAAACACACAGACACACAAACACAGAGAGAGAGAGAGAGAGAGCGGGACACACACACACACACAGAGCAAACAAAGCAAACATCTACAACCAAGGAAGCCTGGCGAAAGCTGGGAGGCCACTCCGTGGCCGAGCCTTTCTGAACTTCACCCGCAGTTTGAAGGCTCGCAAGTGCTGTCTCTGCGAGGATGCCTGGCACAAGCCCGGTGGCTCGCCAGGATTCCCCAGAACACGAGTGTCCAAACTCCATTGCTGATTGGTTCTACCAACATTTCACAGGCTTGCACAGGCCTCAGCATAGGCCTCACGAAACCTAGAACCACCTGGTTATTCAAATGTGCAATAGTGGTTCTGGGCGCTGCTGCAGACGCTGCTCACATAGAACTCAAGAAACATTTTTTTAGAGGGGCCTCCTCTTGCGAGACAATGTTTTGACTTGCAGGGGGGTATCGCATTTTGTTGCCAAATTATCTTGCCGTTGTGTTTCAAACGACGCGTCCCCCTGGCTACCTGCAATGGGTCATAAGTCGAAACAAACAGCTTCAGTACGCCGTGATGATGGTTCCCCATGTTGTTGTTCTGCCTGAGCATCCTTGCGGGTTGCAGCCCGACAGGTATGCCCGCTGTAGATCACACATCTAAAGGACAGCGGAGTTTACTGCGGCTGGCCAACAACAACAAATTCCATAAGCGGGCCAATTTGGAACTACTGTGCGACGGAACGCGTCCCAACGCAGCCACACACATGGGGAGCCTACTGCAATTATTGGCGTGGCCAAACCTCCAGTCTCGCATGGTGAGCCGAGAATGTGGCTCCCCAGTCCTTGACAGCTGACACCAACCCAAAATCCTTCCACTGCTGGGTCTGCACATGTTTGTTCTTACTATGAATTGTAAGTGTACAAAGTCACAACAAGTCTTGTAGTAGCCCAGTATGACCGACTGGCCAGTCGGTAGGGTGTCGTGATGGCACACATAACCCAAGTGGTGAGAGGGCAAGCTGCCTAAGTTCAGACCGTGCCGCCTCTACATTGCAAGAAGCGACGCTTGATGCATACCACCGACCACTTGAGGAATCAGAATTGATCAGAATCCTGAACTGCTGAGGCCAGGCGCGCAGGAACCGTCTGCATGATTCTTACGTATAAAGCTCTGTGCTTCACTCTCTGCGCGCACATCTTGAAGTGGCATCCTTGCAAGGGGCCCCCTGAATTAGAGCCCGGAGATCGAACCTGGCTGTTTGCTGGAGGGTTTGACCGAAAGACCATCATGAAGGACCAAAAGCAGTGGCCAAAGTGTTCAAGCCCAAACAGTGTCAAAGGTTCAATGGGGCTGTCACACAAGTTGACACCACAAATCGGGTGCATTCAAACCCACAAAAATCAGACACAAACAAACACACAGACAAACAAACAGACAAACAAACAGACAAACAAGCAAAACAAGCAAGCAAACAGACAAACAAACAAGCAAAACAATCAAACAAACAAACAAACAAAACAAACAAATAAAACAAACAGACAGGCAGACAAACAAACAGACAGACAAACAAAGCAAACAAACAAAACAAACAGACAGACAGGCAAAAAATCAAACAAATAGACAAACAAACAAAGAGACAAACAAACAGACAAACAGACACTCAAACAGACAGACAGACAGACAAACAAACAAACAAACAAAACAAACCGACAAACAAACAAACCGACAAACAAACAAACAAACAATCAGACAGACAGACAAAACAAACAAAACAAACAGACAGACAGACAGACAGAAAGACAACAAATCAGACAAATAGACAAACAAACAAAGAGACAAACAAACAGACAAACAGACAATCAAACAGACAGACAAACAAAGAGACAAACAAACAGACAAACAAGCAACACAAACAAACAGACAAACACACGGACAAACAAACAAACAAACAGACAAACAAACAAACAGACAGACAGACAAACAAACAAACCAACAAAAAACAACAAAGAGACAGACAAACAAAACAAACAAAACACACAGACAGACAGACAGACAAACAAACAAAACAAACCGACAGACAGACAAACAAACAAACAAAACAAACAAATACACAAAGCAGACAAACAAACAAACAAACAAAACAAACAAACAAACAAAAACAAACAAACAGACAAACAAACAAAACGAACAAACAGACAGGCAGACAAACAAACAGACAGACAAACAAAGCAACACACACAAAACAAACAGACACACACACACAAACCAAACAAACAAACAAAGGAACAAACCAAAAGACAGACAGACAAACAAAACAAGCTGACAAAACAAACAGACACACAGACAGACAAACAAAACAAACAAACAAAACAAACAGACAGACAAACAGACAAACAAAACAAACAAACAAAACAAACAGCCAGACAAACAAACAAAACAAACAAACAAACAAACAGACAGACAAACTCAACAAACAAACAAAACAAACAGACAGACAAACAAACAAACAGAACAAACATACAGCCAGACAAACAAACAAACAAAACAAACAGACAGACAGGCAACAAAAAAACCGTAACAAACAAAACAATCAAACAGACAGACAGACAAACAAACAAACACACAAAACAAACAGACAGACAAAAAAAAACAGACAAACAAACAAACAACCAAAACAAACAAACAAACCAACTAACAAACAAAACAAACAAACAAACCAACAAACAAACAAAACAAACAAAACACACAGACAGACAGACAGACAAACAAATGCAACAAACAGACAGACAGACAAACAAACAAACAAAACAAGCAAACAAACAGACAGACAGACAAACAATCAGACAAACAGACAAACAAACAAACAGACAAACAAACAAGCAAAACAAACAAACACACAGACAAACAAACAGACAAACAAACAAAACAAACAAAACACACAGACAGACAGACAAACAAACAAACAGACAGACAGACAAACAAACAAACAAAACAAGCAAACAAACAGACAGACAGACAAACAATCAGACAAACAGACAAACAAACAAACAGACAAACAAACAAGCAAAACAAACAAACACACAGACAAACAAACAGACAAACAAACAAAACAAACAAACAGACAGACAAACAGACACACAAAACAAACAAACAAAACACAGAAACAGACAGACAGACAAACAAAACAAACATACAGACAAACAGACAAACAACCAAAACAAACAAACAAACAAGCAAACAAATCAAACAAACAAAGAGACAGACAAACAAAACAAGCAAAACACACAGACAAACAGACAGACAAACAAACGAAAACAAAAAAACAGACAGACAAACAAAACAAACAAAACAAACACAACAAACAAAACAAACAAATAAACAGACAGACAAACAAACAGACAAACAAAACAAACAAACCAATCAAACAAACAAAACAAACAAACAAACAAAACAAACAAACAGACAGACAGACAAACAAACAGACAAAAAGAACAAACAACCAAAAAAACAAAAAACAAAAAACAGACAGACAGACAAACAAAACAAACAAACAAAACAAACAGACAGACAGACAAACAAAACAAACAATCAAAACAAACAAACACACAAACCAACAAACAAACAAACAAAACAAACAAACAGACAAACAGACAGACAAACAAAACAAAGAAACAAACAAACAAACAAACAAACAAACAAAACAAACAAACAAACAAACAGACAGACAAACAAACAAAACAAACATACAGCCAGACAAACAAACAAACAAACAGACAAACAAAACAAACAGACATAGACATACACACGGAGAACCACACCCAGCCCCGGCATGGTGCCCGGTGCCCCTTCCGCAGTCCCGGGGCCCGGGCGTGCAAAAACCCGTGACCCGCGCGCCTTCTGCGCAAAGGTGCCCCAGGCGGAGAAGAGGGCGCCGCTCCAGGACTTCCGGCGCTCCAGCCTCAAGAGCTGAGATCGCGTCCCATGGTCCACCCACCAAAAGGGGTCACTATGTTTCACTATGGATTGATGGGCCCGAAAAATGTCGAACTGTCTGATTGCCTAGTAAAAGGTCGCCCCCGGCGGCAGCGAGTTCGAATCGGGCTGCATAAAGTGGGGGTCTTCCCAATGTCACACCATCACAGAAAAGCATCTTTATGATTCTCATGGTGCCAGAACAGCCTCTGCAGGGTTCTTCTTGTCAGAGATATCTCGCCCTTACCGAGCCCTGACGCTAGACCTGCGTGCGTGTAAGGCTGGGGCCACATGCCAGCGACCAGGCGGCGGAGCTTCAGCCTGCAAGGAGAGAAGGAAGAGCCTCCAAGCTTGACGAAAGCGTCTGTCCTTTGGTGTACTCATGTCTCAAGGTTGACACGCATACAGCTGACGTTCAATGTATGAATCATGCGCATGCGTGTAGATATACATGTGTGATATGGTTAAATGTATGTCATATGGTCGTATGCAAGTCAATGTATACTAAGCAAATGTAATTTCTAGATTGTGCTTGAATGTGCAGCATGGTTAAACTTACAGCATGTAAAGACAAGCGCATGCATTCGCTTCTCTATACACAAATCCATCGTTTGACCCAAAAAGAAAGAAAAACAAAAACAAGTTGGTAAACAGTTTGAACGGAGACCCAAGCAATGGAGCCTTGTGCAGGCGGCACTTGTGCAAACATTGGTCTGCGATGGTTTCTGCAAATGATGTGTTGCAAGCTGGATCAAGTTCACAAACAGTTCAAGCCCAGGTAGCATCCGATCCTAGAGGCGTAATGTTCAGTGATGCCCCAGGCTTGCAAAACATCAACTAGAAGCACGGGAACCCAACCTCGTCTTACTGCTTTGCCTCAGAACAGCCGCATGGCTACGGTCTTGCTCACTGGGCCGTGTTCCCAAGCCTTCAAGCATGAGGCGTCATAAATTTGCATGACAGCCCCGAAGGCTGGCAAGGTGAAGTCCCCTTAGCGCCTCTCGCGCCAGCCATCGAAGGTGCGATGCAGTCGCTGTCGCTGGAGTTCCTGGAACGTCTTGCTGACATGGGACCTCAGCTGGAAGAAGCGCCGTGTGCAGTCTACCGTCAAAGAAGTGGGCTGGTTCCTTTTTGGTCTGAAAGGGCGAAGCTTCGAAGCAAACAAACTATGCCATGTCGGCCTTCAATGCTACCAAGCATGCCAAGCATGCCAAGCAACAGCAAACAAAAGCACATGCCGGCCGAGGGAACCTGTCTGCAAGTGCCTCACACCCACGTGCAGCTTGCAATCTCTCGCGTGCTGCTTTGTTTTCTGCTCTTCGCTGCCATCTTTGTGGCTCATCTCGTCCTCTTTCCTCGGATGCTCACTCTTGTGCGTTGGATAAATTGGCGTGTTCCAAATAAGCAACCGAAAACCTTAGCCCTCACGCTGGCATGAATAAATGTCGCCGCGCGCTGGCCACACTTCCAATGTTCATCTGGATGGCCAGTCTGCTTTTGAGATTCTTCCCTCGAAGGAAAACGGCACTTAAATACTCGCCACCCCAGGAAATGGAACCCAACAACTACCAACCTCCAACTGAACATGTAGCAACGCTATCCGACAAAGATCCCGTTTTTATTTGCCCACGGCCAGATTCCTTGCACCATCTTGCATCGATAAGTTGTGTGTAGATGTTCGCTTAGATGTGACACATACTGAAAGCAAGCCATGCAAATGCTAGTCAGGTGTCCCTCGGATCTGAAATCAGCCCAAGAGAATCAACAAAATGGAAGGCCACATACGAAACGAATTCAACTTTCGAGCGCTATCTGAAATATGCCACCCATGCTTCACACTAAACAAGGGTGCACCCAAACAGCATCCACACATCTGTTTCTTCCAACCAACGCTTTGAAGCCTGCAATGCCATGCACACTAAGTATAATTCAGTGTAACTTCCAGTGGCAGTCCAATTAAGTAAAATTGCTCAAGTGCTCTCCTACAACACCCGAAATTACACCATGGGACGTCGGATAAGAGAGTGGGCTTAGTGCCCGCTTGTGGGCCACATCGATGACAGGGTCAACCTCCTGAAGCTCGGATACGAAGCTCATGGGCTTTTTGCCTGGGTTGACTCCCACCTAATTCTGCAACAAACAGTCAAGTTGCACATCACATGCGCCACATTCCCAATGCCAAATGTCCGCTCCCGTCGGCCGGATTGCTGCGGGGACCCTCAAAATAGATAAGCATGCGAACCTCGGGGGGCCTGAGATATGTTCAGTCTGAACGGCTCCGGGGGAGAATAGGGCATCCGGAGAAACCCAACGAGGTGTCAGCCTCTCGTGGTTTTGACATGTTTGGAATGGATATCCTGTTTGTTTCCATTGCGCCAGGGCCTGTAAAACTCCGGGCTCGGAGAACTGTACAATCCAGGGTTGCTCAAGCACCCCTCCACAAGGGTAGAAATACCCGCGCATGCGCGTGCTCGCGTTATTGTGCTTGTGTGTTCGTGTGGTTGTGTGCTTATGTGATTGTTTGCTTGTGTTTGTAAGTTTGTGTGTTTGTGTCTTGGTGTCTTTGTCTCTTTGTCTTTTTGTATCTTGGTGTGTGTCTGTGTGTGTATTTGCGTGGCCTTTGTCCAAACAAATCAGGAGGAAACCAAACCAATGTGTCGCCTTCGCGTTCACTCATCCTTTGGACTTTTCAAACCCCAAAAATCCCATCCATCACCTCCCAAAATACCAGCAAACGGCAAAACGAATCCGTGACAATCCGTGACTCGTCAAACCGAGGTGCTGCCTCCGCAAGCGCTGGAGCTCCGCGATCCGCGCCCGGAGGCGCTTCTCCACGTTCCTGGGGGCGGCTTTGAGGCGCTGCTGCCACTTGGACAGCAAGCCCTGCAGCTTCCGCAGCACCTGAAGGCCCAAGCCGAGGGAAGCCGAGGGAAGCCGAGGGACGCCGAGGGAAGCCGAGGGAAGCCGAGGGAAGCCGAAGGAGGCTTCAAGCGGAAGGGAAGTTGACAGGTTGTTGAAAAGAGGCATTGTTGGGGGGGTGGTGCACTTGGGGGCTATGGCGTCGAGCAGAGTTGACTGGGAATGGCAACCACTGTCAACCCTCAGACAATGGCTCCCACATGTAGGAAGCGGCTGACCCACACCATCTTCAGCAACATGTTGCCAGCCGACGCCACTGACGCCCGTAGAACCTCCGTCCTGACTTGTCCCGACAGAAATCTAGGCTTGCATCCTTGAAAATCAACATAGACATCACCACAGGTGCCCAATGACCAAGCAGACGTTCGCGCGCCCTTTTCGAGGTGTACCATGTGTTGCAGGGAAGCCAAAGCATAAACCGCGTTCTTCAATCGCGCACCTTGGCACGTTTCTCCGCATCGGTGACTTGGGGTGCCAACTTCTTGTCCTCCATGCCTCAGCCGCTGACCGCTCCAAGTCGATGCGGCGCTAACGTGGTTGAATTCTGAAAAAGCTAAGTAACTTAGGACAATAAAGTTCCCCAACAAAAATACAAGTCACTTCCCTTGACTTTTTCTGTGAGTCCCTCTGACTTTCCTTCCCCTCCCACCGACTTTCATGGAAGTGCACAGACCCCCGTAGAAAGACGACTTTCTTCTTGGATTGGGGCTTTGTGCACTTCCATGTTAGTTGGTGGGAGGGTAACTCCCTCAAAACTGAAGAAGCTCTTTGGCGATCCGTTTCCCAACTGTTTCCAATCGAAGCCAGGCGTCCCATGCGCTTGGCCTCAAGCCGCCTCAGGTACTTCTGGCGCAACGGCTCGCCTGAGCGCCCCATGACCGTGACATTGTAAGCTGCAGGGCTATCCTTCCTTTTGGTTTAAAGGAAAAACGAGGCAAACCAAACCTCTTGATTGTTCTTTGCAGCGAAGATGGGCATTTGCTCATCAACCATTTCATTTAGGTAAAGCTTGTGGTTGCTACAGAGCTACTTTCAATATTCCCTACTTAGAACAAGGAAGAAACTAGCTTGTCGTGTTCTGGCCTTTTTCGTATGGTACTCCGCGGTAGGAAGGGAACCCTATACTGGGCCATGCCCACCAATGTACAAACTGACGATAAACATGGAAACAAAAAGTCCATCTGACGGAATCTCCTTTTGGGCCCGGTTTTTGGGGCTGCATGTTGTGCAGGGCAAGCGCTCAAGGTCACCACACACTGACCTGAGGCGACTGCCTGCTGCTCTAAGAACTGCGGCCAACATAGCGCACGGTATTGTGAAAACATGGGCGCGCCATGAAATATAAATGCTCATTCATCATCCCCCCTACCTTAAGGGGGGTGGAGGGTCTCCCCCAATTCCATTTTGAAGGGGGTGGGGATATTCATCTCAAGTTCTGTCCAAGTGTCCGTGCCTTTTGCTTCTTCACTTTGCCCCTCGAATCTGGCTCCGACTTTCTTGAAGGGTACCCTCAACCAAAAAACCACGACTTCCCAGCCATCCATGTTTAAAAGTCCGCCCCAAAATGTCCAGAGGCCTTCGAACACCCGAGGCTCGATGCTTCGATCCGCGGCGCTGGTGAGGCAGCGCCGCTGGAAGTCCGCCAGGACCCGCTGCGTGGAGCGGTTCCGCCAGCTCGTGAAATGGGAGGCCCACCTCTCCGATCCCGGAGATTGCGAAGCTTGGGCTCGGAGGCCGTGAGCAACGAGGTCACAGGAGTGCGATTGCATGTTTGGCCGCATGTGCAGAAGCAATGCTTGGTGCACATGATATGTGCTTGCTTTAAGAAAAGGAGTGCATGTATAGCTCTGTCGCCCAAGAACGTTTCAACACCAGCGTGTTTCACCGTTCAGCTGGGGCCAGTTGCCTTCAACCCTTTTGCCACAACTCCGACTGAAGCTAACGCACTGCGACGTTGTTATGGCCGTGGCGCATGTCCACGACTATGTCCTGGCGATGGGAAAAAGGCAACAGGCGCCTACCTATGACTCCAGGTCACCATAGAAGCCCAAAAACAGGAGTCATAGAAAACCTATGACAGGAACCTATGACAAAAACAGGAATCTATGACAACACTTCAGTGTTTACAGGAATATCCTTTTCTCCCCTCTTTGGGTTCCATGTAAATCTGCAAGAAGGAGTGTATTAATTACTCTCTCCCTCAGCTCTGGACGGACGAAAAGTCATGGGCCTCTAAGTTGGGAATGGGCAGTCCAGATCAATAGACCTGGCAAACGATTCGGAGACCGCCGCCGCCAAACATGATGAATCACAATGTTTATCAAAAAAGGGGGACTTCCCAACTACCCCTGCGCGCAACCACCTCGAAATTGATTCTCCCTTACACATTCCCAGCTTCCATGTTCCACATCAATGATTGGACTTCGGCCCAGTTTCAAAATGCATTGCGCTGCTTGCTTCACGTTTGTAGCAAGTGCTCCGACTCCACCCCCCTGGGCCTACCTCAATGTTTGCCCCCGGCCAGAAATAATTAATATGTCGGACTCTAGCACTTGTGAACCTTAAATATAAGAACACGTCATAAAATCACAGTTGCCCGCGCACTCCCAACACAAACACCACAGACATCCCCAACGCCTGGTCACTCCAGCCCGCGGGCTCCTGCAGCTTCGTCCAGTGGGGTCGCAGATCAGGGCCCACCTTCTCGGCGCCCTTGGGAATGTGACAGGGCTTGCCTCTGGACCAATGCGCACCACCGGACACAGGGTTTTTAGCCCAGGGGCAGGGGGGGGGGTTTGGGGAAGGCAAGCTGTTTGGGAACCCCGCATTGGGACACGCGAGCCCTGACCGCCATGGCCCCAGCATTGTGCCCATGCCCGTTTTGGTTGCAGTGTTCTGCCCCAAAACTGCGCCAGCTTGGGCTCTCCTGGATCTGGACCCCTATGCATTGTCCTTCGGCTTTCCTTAAAGCAACCTGAGGGTATCCTGAAAAAAGCACCATGAATGAGCCATCTACGAAGCAGTGGATTTTGCACATGGACATATCCAACACGTAAAGCATATGCGTGACCCACGCCTGAGGAGGCCGCCTAGCTAGTCTATGTGTGTGCTTTCTCTTCAAGAAGGTACGCCTGTATCTACACTTTGGCGAAGG